TTAAGAAGATTAATTTTAAATTTAAAAAATTGAAAAAAATAATAAATAAAGATTTACAATTAAATAATGAATAATTATTTATATATATATATATATATATATATTTATGTAAGTAGCCGAGGTGAGTTGTGTTGAGAAGGCGGAGTTGGCAGAAGGGTGAGGGAAGATGTTTCCGAGTGAGAATCATAGTAACGGCTATCAGCATCTCTCAGCGGGTATGGGTATGGGAATGGGTCACTCTCACAGAGAGCGAGTCCGTCGCGGCACACGCAGGTCACGTGCTTCCCCCTCCGCGCACACCCTTAGGGTTTGCGACAACCAACCGCAACCGCAACCGCAACAACAACACCATCCACCTCCTTGCACAGACTTCGATGTCGCATATTTCCATTCCTATTCTCACCTTGGTATCCACCAGGAAATGATCAAGGTTTTCTTTCTCTCAGTAACATTCACTACGCACACCTCAATTTTCAATGTCTCTGCATTCTCATTTTACCTTCACGCAGGATCGCGTGCGCACTGAAGCTTATAGGGACGCAATCATGCAGCACCAGAGCTTTATCGCAGGCAAGGTAATTTTGCCAAACCCTTTTCTTCTTTTCTACGGTAGAAGCTGCTAGCACCGCAATTTAATGTATTTGGTTTGCATTTTTATTACTCTGCAAACTCTTTAGAAATCGTCTTTATGAATTAATGAAAAGCATTGCTGTCTTAAATTTCGAAGCCCTAGAAGGAGAAGGAGTAATTCTCTAATAACAATAATATTGTAACAGAATCTAGTTAAAACTGGTATTAAAAAAGCAATTACATGATTGAATCCCTGTAGCAGATACGATTCATAGAACCCTAATCCTAACATGATATATATACTTACATGAATGCGAAACTTTCTCTGTATAAATGAGTATGGAAAGATTGGGGAAGAGAATTCAGCGGTTCAACAAAAATATATTTGGAGTACTTGAGATTTTGTCTGTGGGACAACTCAACCAAGCTTAATTCCAATAGAGTGGAAAACCCACTGATAGGAAACTGGAATCAGATGAGTAATATTATTGAATATTCTCACTGGAATGCACCTTTTGCTACTAATCACGATTTTAAAAAATTGTCCGTGAACACAATTGTGGCCACAATGTCAAGTGTGATCACTCTGCAACCACAATTGCAGTGCATGAGCCACATTTTCCTGCAATGTCAAGGATTGCAATGTGACTGCAATTGCAATTTAAAATCACGCTACTAATAATTATATAAAATTAAATCAAGCTTTGGAAAACTCTCACTCTGCAAAATAAAGACAGAAAGGTAGAGGAGATACTATGGATACATCAAGTGTCTGCTCCCCGACCACCACCCAAACCTTGCTTGGCCCCCTCTCTTTCCTTTCTTTTTATTCTACTTTACTAACAGAATCAGGTTCAATGGACACTTTCACAAACTGACCCCAACCCATTTTTGCTTTTCATCCTAAAATATGCCTTTTGATGATTGGGAGGCTAACTCCTACCCTCACACTCAATTAACCTTACTTTTAGACTTCAATAAGATCTACTTATCATGACTATTAATGTGAACTTTGCTGTTTTTTATTTTTGAATGCTCCCAATCTATTAAATCGATAATCATTATAATTGCAAAAATATGATACCTCTATTTTATACATAATTGGTATTACAACTTTTGGCCAAAAGAGAGGACTTTGTTCAACTGATGTAGATGCTCAATAGGTGGCTGACTGAGCCCATGTGGATTGTGGAGAGCTTCTTGTTGGGGATTGTGTTATTGTTCAGTCAAAAAATGAATGATACTTATACATGCATATGCGTGCATCTTGGAATCTAATCATTGTTATCTCATGCATAATTTGATTGTTTTGTTAAGTTCTTTTCAATTGAAGTTTCTAATGGATTTTCTTATCTTTCCTGCCCCTTAACCATCTGCATTCAGGTTGTGGTTGATGTTGGATGTGGTACAGGAATCCTTTCTATATTTTGTGCCCAGGCTGGTGCAAAGCGGGTATGCTCTTTCAAAATAACATTCATATATCCTTTCAGTTGATAAGGAAAGATTGTTACTAAATGTTCTGATAATATAATGTACTTTTTAAAATAAAAGCAAAACTGTTTTATTTCCTGTAAACCCTTTTCTTGGTTCTTAACTATTAGAGAGAGATAATTGTTTCTCATGATAAAACTGATACTGATCTTAGTGAAAAATGGAATACAAGCTAATATGCTCAGATCTGTTACAGAGTATATATAGTGATGGAACTAAGCTCTGATAGATGTGACAGTTGTAACTGCCTCTAACTAATTACAAACAGACTGACAGCTGTCAAGGGACAACTGTAATAAACTAATTGAAAGATGAGTGAGATTATTGAAGCTCAAACACATTGAGCTTGAAGCTTAGAACTGAAAACCGGGATAGACATAGGGGCTTGGTCAACAAGTCAGCAAGCTGATCTGATCCTGGTATGTGAAGAACTTGAAATTTCTTGTTAATTACCTTCTCTTGAACAAAGAACAAATCCAATACTACGTGCTTGGTGCATGCATGAAGAATGGGATTATGGACAACACTTTGACTATCACAAAAGACAACTAGTGTAAGGCAAGGAGCAGAAATTTCTTCCAGTGCAGTTGGTATCTAGAGGGTATTAGTAGTAACAGTGGCCAAACTTTGATACTCAACTTTAGTACCAGACCTAAAAACCACTGTTTGTTGGCCAGATCACCAAGTAACCAAGTATAGGCCTAAGAATATAGCAGCACCTGAGGTACAGTGACAATCATTTGGGTCAGCGGCCCTATCAGCATCATAAAAGGCCTGCAAGGAAAGAGGCTGACTGGAAGAAGGTGAAGACCAGTGTGAAGAGAACCTTTATGATAGTGAAATATTCTTTTTACAGCTACCCAATGTGTTTTGAAGGGGGAAGCCATGAACTAACAAACAGTGCCCCAAAAACTGAACGGCATAAAGAAACCTTTGAGAAATGGTCAAACCCATGTTTGGTGAGTTTGCAACCAGCAAACATGGGTGAAGAGATGGGCTTGGTATCAAGCATATTGGTGCGAGAGACAAGATCTTTAATGTATTTATTTTGAGTGAGCAAAATACTACCATCATGTTGAGGGCGAACTTCAATTCCAAGGAAGTAATCAAGTTTATCTAGTTGTCATTGACTCACGATGTTGTGATTGCTAACGAATGGCGCTCCTTTCTGGCTCACAATTGACTCCAATGGTGTTGGCAGTGGCGGTAGTAAGGGTGACAATGGTTTCCTTTTTTAGGGCAAGGCAATGGAAATAAAGCTCCCAAGATTGGGAGCTTTGATACCAAGTTGAAAGAGATGATTTTATTAATATTTATCACGCAAATTACATTCCTATTTCTCCCTATTATAGATGTACACTTGTCCCTAAATAAGGAAATAAGGAAAGATTTCAAAATAAAAACTAATCCCCTAAAATACTGCTCTTTTACAACATCAACATAGGCTTGTAGTGAACGTTGTTGAGGATATGTGAAAGGTGGCATATGAGTGTATTGAAAATAATAGGTGTGTTTTTCAAATAAGTATCATATTGTTGATAGTAAACATTGGAAGGTGGTGGTTGGTAATTGTGATCAAACTAATGATAGCACACTGTAGTGGTGACCATATTTGAAGCATACTTGGAATTTGACACTGAGTAGCTATGATGCACGGATACGATACGCGTATCGGATACGATACGTATCCGATACGGCGATACGTCAAATTTTAAAAATATAGGATACGATACGTTTAGGATACGTATTAAAAATAAATAAATTAATATATATAAAATAGTAATTGCAAATAAATATTAAGAAAGATAATTAAAATTAAAATTAAGAAAGATAATTAAAATTAAAAAAAAAACATGTATGTGAGATTGAAATTTTGTTAGTTTAAAAACTAGAAATTAAAAATTTGTTACAATTTTTTATACATTTTAAAGATGCTAAAAAAAGAATTAAAAAAATTCTAATTATTATTAATTTACAGTTTTATATGCACCTTTTAATTAATAGGTTTAATATTTAACTTATTTTAATATTATATTTTAATATTATAATTTTATCATTACTGACGCAACAACACATAAGAAAAGGACAAGATATTTCAATATACATCAGAAAGTATAGATTCAAAATAGGAGCCCCCACCCGAGAAAAGCGTAAACCCCCCCCCTTCTTCTTCCTCTCTCTCCCCCCTCCAAAAAGTCGAGACCAGACCAGTGCGTTTCTATCTTACTGTGCATACCGGAAGAATAATAGAGAAGAGAAAAGGAGATTATATGCTTTACCTGGTCATTGTTGTGCAGTTGTCTTCCGGGCCGGTGCCTAAACGCAGCAACAAATTGTATGTGGCTTTGGAATGTAAAGTATCTCCCTCTCAAATTTGTGTTTTCTTGCTATTTTATGGTTGATTTTCGAATAAATTTGGAACAAATCTGGAAAATTTTTTTTTCCCTTTTTTTAATAAAATCACTGTGGATACGGATGAGATACGTATCTTTCACGTATCAAAACGTATCCGTATCGGATACGTTTCCGATACGGATACCGGACCAGATTTCACGTATCCGTGCTTCTCAGCTGAGTAGAGAAGCGACTACTATGTTTGCAGCCTTTTCCAAAGCGACCACCAATATGACCTCAAAATCTGCCACCATAAGAAATGGAATGTGATTGAGGTTGATCTTGAAAACCAGAGTATTACGATTCAAATTTGTAGGCTCTGAAGCATAATTGTGGATTGATATTGGTAACATTAATTGAAGGAGAATCACTCAACAATTACCATTTGTATTTCTTTAAACAAAGTTCTAGAGCTTGAACAAGACCTTCAACGTCTTCAATTGACATAGGTACTAATTTGCTTTCAACAAGAGAAAGTACAATATCATACTCTTAAGGAAGACCTTCAAGGATGACACCTAAGTGTTCCTGATGTGAGTGTGCATCTCCAACAATGGGGAGTGCATCAACTAGGGCTTTGATGCAAAGAAGGAATATGTTGATGCAACCATCATCAAGAGATGCATTGCAAAGTGCATATTGTGGCTAACGAGTTTAGTCTAATGATGGAAGTATGAGTGAATGTTAATCTGAAGTGCATGAGTGCAACCTAGAGCATGAGAAAGAATTGCATTGGATAAGGATGATTGAATCCATGAAAGAAGTAATTGATCTTGTTCCCAAGCGAGTAATGCAAGTTTGACATTGTTGACATCACGACCTGTGGAGGTGAGAAATTTTGGAGGATTTGCGGTGATCCAAGATAGTGATGAAGGCAGTGTTTTTTAATAACTGGTTCAACTTGCTTTCCCCATAGCAAGAAGTTCTCATCATGGAGCTTTTCAGTGATTTGATGGTTGAAGGTAATAGGAGCTGAAACAGGGATTAGGGGTTCCGAATTGGTAGAAGAATGAACATGCACCAGAGTAGCTCTGTGGCTGAAATCAGAGGAGATTGGTGGAGGAGGCAGTGGTGGAGAATTATCAGAATCCATGGATAAGGAGCGTTAAGCTCTGTTACCATTTTAGGAGAGAATTGTATCTCATGATAAAACTGATATTATTGATTTGAGTGAAAACTGAAAAATGAATTACAAGCAACTATGCTTAGACCTGTTACAGAGTATATAGAGTGCTGCTCAGATAGATGTGACCGTTGTAGCTGCCTTAAACTAATTACAAACAGACTGACAGATGTCAAGGGAAAGCTGTAACAAACTAATCGAATACAGTCACAAGAATACAAAGAGAAATAGAATATTCTCACACTAACTCACGTGCAATGTTATATTGTTCTTAGATTTTTTTAAAAATAAAATAAAATTATTACTTCAAAATTCTTCATCATGATTAGGTTAGATCTGACATATTCTGCATTTAATTGTTTAAGTTTGCAATTGCTGAAATCACGAATTATACTGAAATTTTTATTGAGCTCTAGCAACCTTTTTTTTTTTTTTTTTTTTTGATTACATAATTTGGAGATGCTGGATGTATCATGAATGAGTTGCTTTTGTTCTACATTTCAAACCATTGAAGATCTAGGATCTTTTGTTGAGTTATTTTGTTTGGGATTAATAATATATATTAGGGTTTAATTTCTATGCGTTGTCTTGACAATCAATCAGAAATCATGATAGGTATGGCTTATAAGACAGTTATTATAAAAGTCAACTAATTATACACACTATTTTGTTTGGATGACAGTATAAACACTGTGAATGCATATACTGTTTATTCTATATATTACTGTATTCTTTGAGCCTTATGCTATTGTTTCCAAAATTAGGCTTTTAATTTACTTGTTTGAAACTCTAATTTTTCCCATCATTGAAGCATTTGACATGCATTATGTTGTGAATGTTTGTCTTGTCAGGTGTATGCAATTGATGCCAGTGACATTGCCCTACAGGTAATAGTCAAAGATCATAGTTTTCATTTGTATAAGCTTTATTTAGTTTTGGTGTAAGTTTGTAACTAAAACACTCAAAGGTATCCATGGGATTAGCTTCCACACTAGATTGAGTTCTAAATGGCTATGTATAACCCTATTGATTGTGAAACATTATCTTATCCACTGTTTGTTGAAGATTTAACATGAATACAATATTTGGGTTAGTGTATCATTTTTATGAGTACAATGCATGCTATTGTAGTATTAGTAGCTCATAGATTTGCTTAACATTTAAAATTTTCTAATATCAATTGTAGATTGATTATCGTTGTCTATATATTATATTTTTATCTTTTGTTTTGTCTTGGACAATTTAGTGGTTGTTCTTGTTCTGTTTAATTTCATCTTCTTTTTTTGTGTGTGTGGGGGATGTACCAGATAGCAAATATTTGAGTTCTTCTGTCACTGTTATACAAGTTTAAAGGTTGAGGTTGTATATTGTAAATAAGTTGTTTAAATGTTAACTAGCACTTTTTTACCTTGTATTATTGGTTTCAAATAGTTATTTTCTTTTGCAAGCAGGCGACTGAAGTTGTGAAAGCAAATAACTTATCTGATGTTGTTATTGTATTGCATGGACGAGTCGAGGTAGGCTCCTTTGAATGATATTTGCTTTTTAATTTTTCATAAATTCTTTTCAATATTCTTTAGTATGTATAGGGGTATGTGGTACATGACACGTGACTTGGTAAAATTATCTTACACAAGGGATATACTTAGTTTTGATATATTGTTTAAATGCATAAAATGTTTTCTAATATTAATTAGTACTACCTATTAATATAATTTTTGAAAAAAAATGGAAGTTACAATATATACACACAAAATTACTTTAGATCAATATTTCTTATGTGCTAATAATTATTTTATATTAATAAATTTGTCTATTTCCCTTCCAAAGGTGTTGATACTCTTTCCAAAACTAATTTTACTATTTAAAATATTTTCTGGATCTAAGATAGTTCTAATACCATCTTAGAATGTAGGTTTGGGTCTAACTCAATCTTATAAAACAAACGTGTATGGTTAAGGTTGTCCTCCACATATAAACTCTTTGTTTGTCTTATCTCTAATTGATGTGGGACTTAGATTTTTTCCAATATACCCCCTCACACCCAACACTATTAGGTTTGGTGTGTGGACAAATGGTGAGTGACCATTTTTAATGATCTATGATAGGTAGGACTTGGGTTTTTTCCAATACCTCTTCTTTTGTTTTCTTCCAAAAACATCTTTCAATTGTTCCTCTATCTCTTTCATTGTATTCTTCCAGTTCACACTGAGTCCCCTTTTATTGTTTTCTTCCAAAAGCGTCATTTTATCTTCCCCTTCCATCTCCTTATACAAATCTAAGTTGACGAATTTATCTGCACTCTGGTTCCTACTTTCACCCTTTTCTAATGATGCTATGTTACTCTAACTCTGACTCTGACCCTTTTCCTTTAGCAACTTCATATTAGTTACTAAGAACAAGCTATAAAATTTTATATTCACCTTAGGTTGTGCTTTTTGCAGGATGTTGAAATCGATGAAGAGGTGGATGTTATAATTTCAGAATGGATGGGCTATATGCTTCTATATGAGGTGTGTATTAGGGTTTTCTAGTTGTTTGATTAAATCTATACTTTTGTATGTTTAAAGCTAAGACAAATTTTCGCGAGATAAGCCGAGCAAAACCATAAATTTTGAGGTGACTGATAGTTTGTTAACCTTAATAAACTGAAATTAGGAAAAAGACTAATTTTTATATCACTGATTTTGAAAAAGAGAGTTTGTCATTTGATGGTTGTAATTGTGAAAAAACCCAAAATTTACAATTCTATAAAAGAAGATATTCTTTAATTGAATTTCCCTTTTATTTTTTAGTTGGGATTGGGGAAGGGTGACTGCTTCATTTCCAACACAAGCCTGCCCCTGTCTAAGTGATACTTAGACATCAGCATTAACTTCAATTTCCCAGCTTCTAACAGTAAATGCACTCTTTTATGATTTGTATTGGTTTGAAGAGTTTTCTGTTCTTGTAGAGCATGCTTGGAAGTGTTATTACTGCTAGAGATCGTTGGCTCAAACCTGGTGGACTTATTCTTCCTTCTAGTGCAACGGTATCTATTTATGTTTTCTCAAATATATATTTGTTGGTC